CAACCTCCTTTCACTGTCGGCCCATCTTCCCCCTTGCTCGTCAGTCTGAGGTTCTAGTGCGAGTAGACAAGCTTCTCTGTACGCTTGTGCTTCAGCTGGTTCCTCGTCTTCGTCTGCACGAGGGACCACGTACTCCAGTTCCTCTCTGCAGGAGAGGATGTGGTCCATATCGAAAGCATTCTCATCGCCAGCATCTTCAACTCTGGATGGCCACCCCCGTGTGCCTCCCACCACAGCACTGCATTGTCCTTCTCTGCCCTCCTCAACGCTGCTGCGTCACCAAAGATCCCTCTGCCGAATTGGAAATCGTATAGCTGGTCTTTGTAGTTCGTGAACTTCTGACTCCCATTCTTTGCAACGAGACGGTCCACCACACTATCGAATTGCGCCATCAAGTCCAGATTGCTGAAGACGGTGATGTCCCGCAATCGAGGGTCCAACAAGCGAGCCACAGCATGAACAGGGCTGAGAAGCATGTCCGTCCTCTTTCCCACATCGCGCAAGATGCTGTCCCGCTCATCGTCTGTGAGTGGCGCATGAAGAACACAATTCTTCAGGTCCACGGCAGCGTCGTACACCCTGGATAAGCAGTGGATGTCCTTGTCGACCATCCTCAGCACATCGTACGACCCCTTCATCACTTGATGCAACTTCTTCAAATCTGCCCAGAATGCCCTGTCAGTGATGAGGGACTCCACCTCGTAAGCGTCCGTCCAGATGTACGGCTGCCAATCCATTTTCGTCCACGAGTCCCCCAACACCAAGCGACGAAGGGCTCTCTCGCATGTCAAGAGTCGATCCAACATGACGAAGTGGGTCCCGAACCTCGTAAGGGCAGGACGAAGAAGAACTCTGATCTTTACACCCTTTTGTGCCATTAGCTCCGTTCTCAACATTGATCGTGGCCACCTGTGGTTCCTGAAGAACTTCACGACCATATTCGCCTTCTTGATGATGTCCTTAGCCCATGGCTTGTCACCAACATCCTGCATGAACAAGTCCATGCAGTGCGCAATGCACGGGATCCAGTATATCTGCTGGAACTCTGGATCCGCCCTCAACATTGTGGCCGCACTTTTGTTCCCCGAGAAGGAGTCAGTGCAGATGGCCGTGATCTTCTCAACCCCGATCTCCCTGAAGAAGTTCTTCCATCCACGAACAACTGCACCGGCGCCCTTGTTTTGTTCGCTGACGTCCTCACACTTGACGAATAGTGGCTTCGAACGCCCTGCGAGGATGTAATTCACCAGTGACCGCCCACAGATGTCAGTGGTGCCGTCCGTGATGAATGTGCAGCCAGTGACCTCCCAATCATCGTTGATGGCCTTCTCCTCCTCGTTCAACCTTTGCCTCAAGCCATCGAGAAGATAACACCGCAGAGGGTTGTAGCCAGTGAGGACCAGGGAATGTTTGGCAGCAGGTTGTGGTCCATAGCATGTGTTCACAAACTTCTTAAAGGACTTGCTCTTCGCCACATTGAAGGGGATTGAGTTCTCCACAAAGAACTCGATGCAGCTCTCATCGATGTCCTTCTGTCGTGGGTTTTTGACCCACCTCGCGATGGAAGCCTGCTTCATCTGCCCGCGATTACACACTCGTGCTTGTAGTGCATTAGCACGAGAAGGGCATGCTTCCCCCCGAAATGCACCTCGCACATCGACGGCCCTCCCCCCAACATCCTCCACCCCACTGCAAGACTGCGGACCCGGCTTTCCACCCCTCTCCGCTTGTCTCCCTCCTTCATCCCCAACGTCTGCCCCCGCATCTCCTCCCTCCAAACCACCATCACCGGTGCTGTTCTCCTCCTCCTCCGCTGCCCGCACCGATTCCAGCAAGTCTGTAGGCAATGCCACCCCGACAGCATGCAGCCTCCTCCAGATAGCCAGTGTCCCATGAGGGCAACGTGAAGTTGGCCTCTTCCAAATGAAGTGCTCAGCTGCACGCGGTTGTCCCCCACTGAACTCACGGCCGCACAACTTGCATTTAAGGCGACGACCACCCCGAGTGGTCTCCTTCAGCTTCTGCCCAGCAGACACCCACGACCACACACAGAAGTTACCCCGAAATGTCGGATCCTCCCTAAACGGCTCCCTCTCAGCATTTGCCCCGGGACGACCACCTGCAGCTGAAGTTGCACTTGTCATGTTGCAGATGTGGCGGCTGCCGGACTATTACATGGGACTTGCGCTGAGAGTTGATGTCACACTTGCTGATGTGGCCTGCCTCCCACACACGCACACGCAGTTGCACAACCAATCACCACGTGTCAGTCCCTCATTAAAACAACAACAACAACAACAACAACAACAACAACAACAACAACAACTGGTGTGGCGATGGAAGAGGAGGAATATGACGACGATGGGGAGGAGGAGGTGGTGGATGGAGATGGGTTGTAGGAGGAGGATGGCGATGGGGAGAGGAGGAGGAAGACGACGACGCTGGGGAAGATCGTCTTACCCATCGCCGTCTTCTGCCTCTGCCTCCTCCTCCTCCCCCTCCCCCTCCCCATCGCCATCCTCCTCCTCCTCCTCAGGCTCCCCCCCCTCCTCCCCCTCCTCCTCCTCCTCCTTCTTCCTCCTCTCCTCCTTCCGCATCGCCATCTTCTTCCTCCTCCCCCTCCTCTCCTCCTTCCCCATCGCCATCTTCTTCCTCCTAATCCTCCACCTTCCATAGGCGATCTCTCTCCCCCTTCTCCTCCCCCTCCTCCTCCTCCCCATCGCCATCTTCTTCCTCCTAATCCTCCTCCTTCCATAGCCGATCTCTCTCCCCCTTCTCCTCCCCCTCCTCCTCCTCCCCATCGCCATCTTCTTCCTCCTAATCCTCCTCCTTCCATAGTCGATCTCTCTCCCCCTTCTCCTCCCCCTCCYCCYCCTCCCCCTCSCCMTCMTCYTCCTCCTRATCCTCCTCCTTCCATMGYCGATCKCTCTCCCCYTTCTCCWCCCCCTCCTCCTCCTCCCCCTCCTCCTCCTCCTCCTCCTCCTCCTCCACCCGTAGCCGACAAAATACGTAACCGTCCATTCCAAGGCCATTTAAAAAAAAAAAAAAAAAACAGCAACTGGTGTGGCGACGGAAGAGGAGGAAGAAGACGGCGATGGGGAGGAGGAGGAATAGGAGGAGGATGGCGATGGGGAGCAGGAGGAGGATGGCCATGGGGAGAGGAGGAGGAAGATGACGACGCTGGGGAGGGTTGTGTTAATCCTCCCCCCCCCCCATCAGCATTTTCCTCCTCCTCCTCCTCCCCATCGCCATCCACCTCCTCCTCGTCCTCCTCGTCGTCCTCCTCCCCATCGCCGTCTTCTGCCTCCTCCTCCTCCTCCTTCCTCCTCTCCTCCTTCCCCATCGCCATCTTCTTCCTCTTCCTCCTCCTCTCATACCCGATCTTTCTCTCCCTTCTCCTCCTCCTCCTCCTACCATACCCGATCTTTCTCTCCCTTCTCCTCCTCCTCCTCCTCCTCCTCTTCCTCCTCCCATCGCGATCTTTTTCCTCGTCCTCCTCCTCCTCCTCCTCCCCATCGCCGTCTTCATCTTCCTCCTCCTCCTTTCCTCCTTCCCCATCGCCATCTTCTTCCTCCTGCTCCTCCTCCCATACCCGATATTTCTCTCCCTTCTCCTCCTCCTCCTCCTCCTCCTCCCATCGCGATCTTTTTCGTCGTCGTCCTCCTCCTCTTCCTCCCCATCGCCCTCTCCCTCCTCCTCCTCATCCTCCCCGTCGCCCTCTTCCTCCTCCTCCTCCCCATTGCCCTCTTCCTCCTCCTCCTGATCTTCGTCTTCCTCCCCATCGACCCATGACTGGGTCAGCGCGCAGTTTCGCACCGTAGCTCGACTTTCAGTTTCGCACCGTAGCTCGACTTTCGGTTCATCATGCATCGACACAGATTCGACAGTTCTGCTTACGAGAAATGGGCCGCTTCCCGATTTCAATCATTGTATACGTTCGCTGAAAATAAATAAATAAATAAATTGAAAAGCTGACGTGGCAGGGCGATGGGGAGGAGGAGGAGGAACAAGACGATGATGGGAGGGAGGAGGAGGAGGAAGAGGGCGATACGGAGGAGGAGGAGGAGGAGGAAGAGGGCGATGGGGAGGGGGAGGAGGAGGAAGAGGGCGATGGTGAAGAGGAGGAGGAAGACGAAGATCGGGATGAGATGGAAGATGAAGATCGAGAGGAGGAGGAGGAAGAGGAAGATCGGGGTCCCGATCTTCCTCTTCCTCCTCCTCCTCCTCTTCCCCGGACCAAGTGCGGCGACTTAGCAAAACTGTAGCTTCTACGCTAGCCAACAAGCACCAAATGGTAGTAAAGGACAATGTCAAGGACGCAGTCTATTCCTTCTCTTATGGAGGAGGGGAAGTGAGACACAAAATCTCATTCCTCGTCAGCGACGAACTGCCCTTCGATATGCTACTAGGCATGTACTACCTCGAGGTCGCGCAACCTCTGTTCGACTGGGATAGAAAGGTGCTGATTCACAAATTGCCCAATGGTAGAACTGTTAGATTGCAAAAGTTTAAAGCTAGCAGTCTAATAGAAAACTACGGGTGCATGTGTGCATCATCTTTTTATAACTATTATAAGCAGAATCGCGAGGAGGGCATGCATCTATTCTTTGTCTCTAAGAAAGGGGAGGCCGTAAAATCACCCCAAGAGATAGAATCAGTCGTCGCGCAATATCCTGATCTTTTTGAGGAGGTCATAGGTGTGGTAGAAAGGGAGGTGGTCCATGCAATAGAGGTTGTCCCAGGTAGTAAGGTGCCTAGAGGACGAATCTATAGGATGTCTCCTGCGGAGTTGGATGAGCTCCGTCGCCAGCTCAAGGAACTCACAGAAAAGGGATGGATTCGGCCTAGTAACTCCCCTTACGGTGCGCCAGTCTTATTTGTCCCTAAGAAGGGAGGTATAGTAAGGATGTGCATTGACTATAGGGGCCTCAATGCCATGACCGTTAAGAACGCGGAGCCCCTACCCCGCATCGACGACCTCTTGGATAGAATGCAGGGATGTCGGTACTTCACCAAGATAGATCTGAAGTCCGGATACCTTCAAATTGCCATTAGACCTGAGGACCAGCACAAAACCACATTTCAGAGCAAGTACGGTCTGTACGAGTTTGTGGTGATGCCCTTTGACCTATGCAATGCACCTGGTACATTCCAGCACGCGATGAACAAGATATTTCATGAATACTTGGACAAGTTTATCGTCGTGTACCTCGACGATATTCTTATCTTTAGTAGGACTGTAGAGGAGCATGCCGAGCACTTGAAAATAGTGCTAGGTCTTCTAAGACAGCACCAATACAAGGTTAACTTGGAGAAATGCGAGTTTGGTCGCACCAAGATCTTGTACTTGGATCATGAAATCTCAACGGATGGATTGAGGCCGGACGATGCTAAGGTGGCCAGCATACGTGACTGGCCCAGACCTCAGACTGTTACTGAAGTCAGATCGTTTTTGGGGATGACGGGCTACTATCGTCTGTTTGTAAAGAACTATAGTACTATAGCTTCCCCATTAACTGATCGAACTCGACTTGACACCCCTTGCGAGTGAACTGAAGAGTATGAGGCGTACTTCAGGAAACTGAAATATGCTCTGACACACTATGAGGTTCTTTAACTTCCCGATCCTGATAAGCCATTTGTGAGACCTATCGAGTATATGAGTAAGAAGATGCCATCTCAAAAGCTAGCAAAGTCCACATATGAGCGCGAGCTCTATGCCCTATATAGAGCATTGGTCCACTGGAGACATTATCTCCTAGGCAGATTCTTCTATGTGAGATCTGACCATGAGACCTTGCGCTGGATGAAGACACAACTTGTACTCTCTGACGCACTCAAGCGGTGGATTCAAGCGATAGACATGTATGACTATCAAATTGATCCAATCAAGAGAGAGTACAACAACAAAGTGGCTGATGCACTATCTCGTCGAACAGATTATCTGGGAGCGTTCGTTACTGAATTTGACATATCTAACGACCTCACTCAATTATTGGTGGAAGCCTATCAGCAAGATTCAGTTATGTCTGAGATCATTCGTAGATTCCAAGTAAAGGGCAAAAAAACTTTGGATGAATTTACGATGGTAGACGGCTTGCTGTTTCTTGAGAAGGCAGGGAATAAAAGATTGTGTGTTCCAAGTAGTGAGTCTTTGCGTAGTTTATTTTAAGGTGAATGTCACGATGCAACCGGACATTTTGGATATAAAAAAGACCTTAGCTAACCTAGTGCAGAAATTCTGATGGCCTACTATGATGCAAGATGCAAAAAAGTACGTTGAAACTTGCTAGGTTTGCCAAAGAGACAAACCTAGGACTCAGACTTCGCTTGGGCTCATTAAGCCCTTGCCAATTCCTGAAGGTCCTGGTCAGAGTGTGTCCATGGACTTTATGGATACTCTTGTGACCAGTAAGTCTGGAAAAAAACATATCTTCGTGATAGTGGACCGCTTTACTAAGTATGCAAGACTGATTGCTATGCCAGAAAGTGCTAAAACTGGCTATGTCATCAAACTGTTTCTGGATAACTGGGTTAGGGATTTTGGGCTACCTACGTCGATAGTAAGTGACAGGGATGTAAGGTTTACCAGCGAACTGTGGCAGACGACAGCTGAATAGATGGGTACCAAGATCCAAATGACGTCAGGGAATCACCCTGAGTCAAATGGCCAGGCAGAACAGATGAACCGGGTAGTACAACACCTGCTTCGGCATTATATTAAGCCAAGTCAGGATGACTAGGACGAGAAGTTACCTCTCGTCGCCACCCTGTATAACAATGCTGTGCATAGTACTACTCGTATGACTCCCAACCAGCTACATCTTGGTTGGAAGCCCAGAACTGCACTTGACTTTCTGCTACCAGAAAGGCAACCCACTGCAGCACCTGGCAGCATAGAGTTTGCTGTCAAGTATGAACAGATGCTGCAGCAGGCCGTTAAACATATTCAGAAGTCTCAGGACGCTATGATTGCATATGAGAATAAACGTAGACGGCCCTCTAACTTTCAGGTAGGTGATTGAGTCTGGGTGAAGTCATCTGAACTGGGTCAGGAGATGGGGATTTCACGAAAACTGATGCCACAGTACTTTGGTCCCTGGGAGATCTTAGACATTGTAGGGGATCAACCGGATGGGCCTTCATACGTGATTCGCATCCCTCCGCACTTGCGTACCTACCCTGTTTTTCATGCATCCAAGTTGGCACCTTTCGCTGCCACAGACCAGTTTCCCTCCAGGAGATCAATGCTGCCCCCAACCATGGATGGCGAAGTGGACATAGACCAGATCGTGGAGCATCGTCTGATGCCTGTTGCTCGACCAGCGGGTAGAGGCCGCCCTCCTAAGCCGAGAATGCAATACCGGGTCAGCTTCAAACATCATCTGGACCCAAGCGAAGATTGGTGGTTCACCAGAGAAGAACTCATGAGAACTGCACCGCAAGTCATTGCAGGCTACGAAAGAGAACTGAAAGGAAAGATGCCTGCAGATTAGAGACTTCTCAGAGGACTATCGAAGCAAAGGAGGAGGGAGTGCGAGGATCTGAGTCCTTGGCAGGCCTAAGGGCCCCCGGTTGTATCTGTGCCCGCCCTAAGTGAAGGCGGGCCTAACAATTCAGGAGAGGCCCTTGGCTGTCATTTTCGTATGTGGGGTCCAGGCAGTTTCGTCGCGCCAGTTGGTTGAAGGAAACACAGGCAGAGCAGCGAGGAAAATGCCCAGGCCTTCTAGGCTTTTCCAAAAGCGCAGGCCCTGGGCAAGATTCGCAGCCTCATACACAGACAGTTGGGAGGCCCAACCGAATGAGGCCTAGTAGCTGCACCAGAGGCGGAGCATCCTGGGGCCTACAGGAAGCTTTTGGGCCCAGGCCAGCCCAGCCAGGCTGCCGGGGAAGGCAGGCTCTTTCCATAAAGGAAAGAGCTCGCTACCTGGCCAGGGCATTCGGGCACTTGCTGGCTGGCGGCAGCGCTGCTGGAGCTCATGCTCGCGTGCTGGCTGCTAGCGCTGGAGCAAGGTGCAGCGCACGTGCGGTCGTGTGTGGAAGAAGGGCGCTGCTGCAGGCAGCGCCATAGCCCAGCCTCCATAGCTGGCGGGCTTGGATATACAGTGAGGCGCAGGGGTGGTCTTCGGATGTACAGAGGGAAGACCTAAGGGAGAGACAAGGGAGAGAGAGAAGGATGATGATGATGATGATGTGAGGGCACATACCTGGTCTTGGCGATGGTCTGCATGGGCGACATCTTCAAGTACTTCGTGATCTGCTGACGTCAACAGTTGCATTGTCAATTAGTAGGCAGACAGTAGCTGTGTAGGGAGTAGGCTGGGCGCCAAGCGCCAGGTAGGGAGATAGGGCCTGGACACTCATGTTGGTGGTGGTGAGAGCAAGCTCTCATTGACATTGGTTTTCAGTGTTACAATTCTTCTTTGGTGTGATATTGGTGCAATGCTGCTCTCTGGACACTGTGCTACTCTCTGGAAACTGTGTATTCTGGTTATTGTCATCTCGCTATTGCTCATTTTCCTTGCATTTCTTTTTTTTAAAATAAATTGGCAAGTTTGTTTATGTCACCCCAGAGTTTCAAATGGGCAAAAAAAAAAAAACGCCCGCAAAGAAAACAGCCGCCAAGTTAGAAAATGCGATGAAAGAACAGCGGCCGTGGTGTCAGGCCAGGTGTCATAACTACAGGGCTTGGCCGTGGTGTCAGTGTCAGACGGGGAAAGGACAAAAAAAAAAAAAAGGCCCGACGGATCCTTTCCTGCCTAAACTGCATTTTCCAACTGGGGGGCTGTTTTCTTGGAGAGCGCGTGTTTTTGGGAAAAGTCATAAGACCTCCCCGCGACGAAACCTTTGTATCCACTTCCCCCCAAACAGGGAAAAAAGTGCCGCAGGCCCCAAAATCACTTTTGGTGTCATTTTTGCACCCTGGCTGGCCGGTAACGGCCGCTGTGTAAAAATGGCGGGAAAGTGTTTGCAGGGTGCAAAAATGACGCCCAAAGTGATTTTGGGGCCTGCGGCACTTTTTTCCCCGTTTGGGGGGGAAATGGATACAAAGGTTTCGTCGAGGGAGGTCATATGACTTTTCCCCGTGTTTCTTTGCCTTTGCGAACTCAGAACCTGCCGCATCGGCACTTGTTTCTTTTTGAAGTTTTTGTAAATTTGGAACCATTCCTCGATTTATGCATGTCATCCTTGCGGAGGGACCATGCTAATCTTCTTTGTATCGTTCCAATTTTTACGGATGTGCCGAAGGACCTTATCTTATTATTATTATTATTATTATTATTTTTTTTTTTGGAAAGTAATCAATGTATTTCAAAATTGGATGGAACGAGGCCGGGGACCTCACAATTCGACCCGGAGGAACAGCTGGGGCCTTTACCCAGATCCGGGTCCAGCGTCCCCTGAACACCCATCCTTCTTTTTTTTTTTTTTTTTTTTTTTTTTTTAATCCTTTTTTTTTTTTTTTTTTTTTTGACGAAACCCTTTTTTTTTTTTTTTTTTTTTTTATGGGAACAACGCTCCAATCTATTCGTGGGGAGCAGCACATGCTGGGAACCGGGCCCAGCGTCCCATATAAAAGTTGACATAGAATTTGAACGAATTTTGAAAATTTAAGATCCAGGACAAAAAAGAATTTGATATACTAAGAAAATCACTACTGAAGCTTCTGATAGGCAAGTTCGGAAACCAACTCAGAAACCCCCCCATCATGTCCTCTTTACCTTACTCCGGCAAGACCTACTGCAGCAGAGCCACCATCTCCACTGTTGCTGTACCATGTCTTTCCAAAAAATTAAGCTCTGAAGAACAGAAAAATTGATTACCGCTGTATCAAAATCATTACTGTGGCTCCTTCTAATTACCAATTCCCCAATGCCACCCTGTCTATCAAAGATGATTCTGCTGCGGCTACCTTGATGAGGTCTAAAAGATCCGGCCCGGTGGCCACCTCAGACTTGAACAGTTATGGAGGGCTTAGCCACTTCTGAATTGTTAGCTTCCGATCTGTGGAGACCACCGCCAACTGATGTCCATTAGCCCACGTCTTCAGGAACCAGCTATACCCTTTCTTCCGACTTCTGAAGCTGGTTTGCCAGTCCGCCAAGATCATGTTTCGTAAGTTCCTGCGTACCTGCTGCTGTTGTTCCTGGACTGATATTCTTTCCTTGTTGAACACCATAGAGTTCCTTGCTCGCCAGATTTCCTCTAAGAGGGTACCTCTGCAAACCAGTGCAACGTAACCCCAACCTGCTTTACATGATGCGCCCGCCTTTGGCGGGATCCCATACAAGATCCATTCATCTGTCCAAGGCCATGCCGGCCCTGTAATGAGATTCCAGTGATGGCGCCACCAGATCCATAGTTCACCCACCATTCGGTAAGACAGCCAGAGATGGGTATTTGATTCCCACCCCCAGCTACATCTGCTGCAAAAGATAGGGATCTCCATGCCCCTTTGAACCAGCCACACCGCAGAGGCTGTCACCAAAAGCGCCTGCAACCACAGTAGGGTTGCCGATCTCTGGGACGGCAACAGTAGCAGGAAAGCCCAGAAGGTTGTCCAGTCTGGTTTCAGTGTCTTGTCACCCCTCACTTTTTCCAGTCTCTTACTTGCCACCTTATCTTATTATACCCATTGCCCATCTCATTATCTGTTTATTAAAAGTAGGTGTGTATAGCATTAACGGCTGCCTAGTCACCATTTCTGACTTTTCTTTTGTGTTCTACTCAGGTAGAACACTCTCAAGCTAGAGGAGGAACCTGGAGCAGGACAGCGAGAGGGGTTTGCTGTGTCAAGGCCCAGATTCCCTCATCATCATTATTGCTTGTTATAAGCATCACCACGGGATCCCCAGGTTCTTGCCCGAACTCAACAAACGACATCAGCTCTCTCTCTCTCTCTCTCTCTCTCTCTCTCTCTCTCC